GTTGGACCACATCCGGTATTACCTCACTCTATGAGCACAGCGAAAAAGAGTATCAATAACTGGGGCATGAAACAATTCCTTAGGGAGTGGAATTTATCCCCCGGACACAGGCAATCGAAAGAGTTTGTTAAGGCGATCAAACCAGCAGAATCGAAATGGCTATTCTCTATCTCAAGGAAGGGAATTAGGAGGCTGATAGGTATTCTGACGGGCCACTGCCCACTGAGAAGACACCTCTTCGTAATGGGTATCCTACCTGATCCCCATTGCCGTTTTTGCGAAATAAAAGAAGAAACTGCAAGGCACACTACCTCGCAGAGTGTGATAGGATGTCTAGGTTTGAAATCTTTGAAGGAGAGGACATCACCAAATCACTCCCTGAGATTAAATGGTCCAAAATCTTGGGGTTTGTGAACAGGTCCAAGAGGTTTATGCAGGACACATGAGCCGACCAAGTCCCGGACCTTTTAGCCTTTTAGGGATGGGGTACGAGTCTACCCAGGCATTTAACCCCTCGGGTCTTGGTCGCCCACCCTGCATAATATATGTATATAAGTGGTGCCTACGATAACGTGAACTTGATTACTTTATCAGAAATAGGTCTTCCCGAGATTTTTGTCCAAAATATAATGGTTATCTCCGCCAGAAGAATTTATAGTGAATAGTTAGGTTAAAGGCTTCAAATCCTTCAAGGGTCTCCCAAAGAGCTTCTTAGCTCTAATTTGTTTGCTATATGCGTCACCGGACTGATAACCATCATTCTCCAGCACGTACAGATCGTAAAATATGCCGACGATATCTGCCTTTACTCGATGCGAAAGAATGCCAACGACAAACTGGTAGCGTTCATCCCGAATTTCCAAAAATGGTTAAAATCAATTGGCCTTGAAATTTCACAAACTAAAACATATTTATGTCCGTTCATACGTAACAGAACGCATGATCTGCCGGAATCAGTCACAATGGGCCATTATATTTTCCCGGTCAAATGATCCGTTAAATTCTTAGAACTTTACATCAATTCTAATCTAAATTGGTCAGAACATATTAAATCGCTTTTAGGAAAAGGGGAAAGTTGTACAACATATTCCAAAGTTTTCGGGCACTCGATGGGGGCTATCTAAACACCACTGTGGTTCTGATATTATTTATATACGGTCACTCTCAGGTCTGTCTTGGCTTTCGGGGCCGCCGACACCCAAATTAATAAACTACGTATATTCATAAACTAGATTTATAACATGGCGTTGCACAGGGGGATAGTAAAAAGTGTTATTTAACACGTTATTTTGAGTATACATATTTTTATTGTTAGATAGGAGCCTATATATAAATTAAATGAACACATTTGAATAATTGATATGAATGTATGTAGTCATGATTTTAGAGATTTACATATGCAATAATACTTTTGTTTTGGATTAAAATGCAATCTACAGTGAGTCAAAAAGTCAGAGTGTAACATCACTCCAAAATACATCAAAATCATGTACAGTTTTACCAATTGATTTAATCTAGTCATTTGCATGCGTAATCGACTATTGTCACATGATTCAATTCGATCGCAATACGGATTGTCTTTATTCTTTAATTCTTACTCGAGTCGCTTCATTTCGTGCTTCGTTATGTTGTGATGATTCAGTAGCACGTGAGTGTGACATATGAAATATATTTCGTTGTCCTGCTTCTTCTTCTGTTTCATTTTGTTTTTCATATCGAATTCACTTGGCAATATTTGTGCGACGACCAATATTGTGTTGAATTCGTGGCATTTTAAACAACAACAAAGTGCAATCCCAACAGAAATTCTACAACAGCAGTGCAGAAAAAAAACCCTCAAAAAATATCCCTAGTAAATGTGCAAGAGACTTCTTATTTATGTCAGTTTATAAAAAAAACAAATCGGATATTGATTTTCATTTTTCTAAAGGAACAATTTCAAGAGATTAGATATAGTGAGAAAATATTTTTGCACCGTTTTTATCAAGTTTTCCATGCTTCTTTAAGCTGTGATATTTCATGAGAAGTTACGAAATCAATATGTCGTAGTTATCAATCTGTAAAACGGGGAGTGGATAAAAAATGAAATGGCGGAGAAGATAAACCAATATTTATAAAATAATTTATTTTATCATGAAGTCTGAAAAATTCTAATTAAAAAATTCATGTTCCGATTACTCCAGTATTCCTATTCCAAAGGTCAAATCCCGTGGGGTTTGGGTCAACCCTATAGGTGTATTCACGCTGATTGTACGGTTCTGGTAACCGTCAAATCTACATAGTATATTTCATTGCCGTATGAATGCATTCCATTAATCATTAAAGACTAGGTTTCGTCTCTTGGTTGTAAAATTAAAAAAAAATGTTTTGACAGAAAGTAGTCGAGGAAAACCACAAATCTCGATGGAAACGCGCAACTCAACCAATATAAAAAAAAACACAAAAAAACCAGGTTCTTGATAATATTTAAATGAGAAATTAGAAGAACATGAAAATTTATTTCATATCTCTGTCATTTTAGTCAGGGGAAAATTTTAGAACAATATATTTTAAGTGCTCACACAAAGTATTCAATTAACCAGGAAAAGAAACATTGAAATCGGAGGCCCTTGTTTGTAAAACGAAGAGCTGCAGTTTAAAGATGAAATTAAATATCTAGAAATTATCTTTGTCAATAAATTAACCTGAAGCCCACACCTACACATCATAAGTAAAAACATCATAACAAGGTCGTGGGTTCGAATCCCGCTCGTGGCACTATCTTTTTCATCTCACAGAAGACCTTATAAAAAAGTATAATTAACTGAAATCCTATGAAGTGTTAACTTAGTGCAAAAGGGAAAATGAAATTAGTAGAAAATTAAATATAATCATACGGTCGCTTACAATTTACAAATAGCTTCAAAAGCAGTGAAGGAAATAGTGAGGTATTCCGTGCAACCCCATAATATGAACAATCAAACTCATTAGGAAAATGCCCCTTGGTCATTGAGCAGCGCCATAGATAATCTTAAACGAGGATACACTGATCCTCATAAGATCAAATAGCCACAAGTCAGAAAGACTCAAAAGCAGAGAAGGATCAACTAGCGACAAATACACTGATAGCAACAAGAAAAACCATAGATAAATTTTGACCAAAACCAAAAATAGCATACTAGCTATATACGGAAAAAATAAGACCTTTGGGATCTTATGATTCATTAATCTCATGGAAGGAACGCTCAATCAAGGTACCGCATGGCAAATGCGTGCTTCACAGGTGTAATGACGCCAACCTATCAACTGCCTTAAAAACACTATTAACCTAATCAATTGGGAACTTATAGACTGGAAGAAGTTAAGAAAAGCTCATACAGGCTCATAAACAAATAACTTTAATGGGAACAAACATTTCGGGGTAGAGGAATAACAAAGGAAATCAGTCATCCATTCTTTAAAATGGACCGTGGGAACTTCGCAACATAATGTTTTAACAGAGTAAGGAAAAAAAAAGAAATCAGTAGAAAGTCAAATATAATTATATGGCATGCAGATGGCTTCAAAACGAATGAAGCGTCAGGAACATTCTGTGCAAGCCCAAAATGTAAGCAAACACTAATTAGGGATGGTCACATCGGTCTGGCAAGCTGATATATTTAAATTATTGCTTGCGTCATGATAAATCTTTAATGAAATTACACGGACGAAAAATACCTCGTACGATCAGAGAACCACCTACATTCATTGCCCGTAAGAAGGGCATAAACAAATCAGTCCAAAACCTGGAAAAACGTCCTAGTAATACATTCTGTACCAGCAAAAGGCAAACTAGACAAAGCAGAATCTGAAAGTTGAACTATTATCCCAGATATTTTAATTGAGATATCAAGGCCAAACATAAGTCTTCCGGATCTCAGATTGTTAAAAAAAAGCCAGACACAGTAAGCTCATGACCAAGAACTCTCACTAAAACTGGCAAACACATTGCTACAGTCAATCAGGGTAAAAACTCAGGGGAATGATGGGGCTCGATATTGGTCACTGGCATCTGATAAACCTACATAACAAGAGTATATTGCATTATGACGCCATTGGAAGGATATGCAATAAGGAGGATGAAACTGCACCCATTTCATCTTCAAAGGAGAGGTCCTAGGCTAAACCAAGAAGACCCAAAAAAACGATTGCAAGGACAGTTACCTACTACTTCTTGAAGGATCGAGTCAACTGACTAAGAAACAAGGAATTGTACAATAAGCCAAAATGCTGCAGCTCATGGGGAACACCAAATCCAAACTTCCGAGTAACTAGAGGTTATCCAAAAAACTGTAATATTCAGTAAGTAATAGAAATATGATAAATTTGCATATTGGCTGATTTGTACGTACAATTATCCCTAGAAAAAAATTAAAATGTATGCGAGGAAAACAGAATATGTAAAACAACGCCGTGCATAATAAACCACAACACACGTGTCCATCAAATTCGCTCTAAGGCGGCGAGAGACAATCGAATCGCTAACATCATCCGTTACCAAAATAAACATCAAAGCTGGTTTATTTGCAGATTTGAAATTTGTCGTGATGGCGTTGATGGTATGGACGAGAGAGATAGAAAGGTGTGAAACGCAATCGCCATCAGAGCACGCCGAAAGGTAAACCTTTTCGGTTTTTATGCTTACACATTTTCCTTTCATCCTTCCAGTGATCGATTTCTTTTACCCTTCTATCAATCTTTAATCTAATTGAAAGTCAGTTTATGACAGTCATCTTATTGAACTACAGACAAATTATTTAAATAAAAAGTTACATTTTCTTTAAATTTATGGTATGGGGGATAGAACATGTAATAACTGAACTTACAGAGTATGATGAGTAGGTAAAAATAATATAAACTGAATAAGGCAAAAAGATAGAAGTTATCAGTTACCTTTGTCAACTCAAAAAAAGAAGAGTTAGGTAAACTAAAAATATCGCAATCGAATTGGAGAGCGAATAATAAAAGAAGTTACACATTACCTGTTCTGAAGTTAACTACGATATCTATCAAAAATATCGTATCGGAAAGACAGTTGAAGGCGATCCATCTCGTGCTAAGGTCATCGTTGAAGAATGAAATAGCAACCGGGAGAATGATGAGATTGGCAACTAGAAGAAGGAGCATACAGAGATCCCAATAAAACCTGCAACATTTAAAACATCCGGTCAGATAGTGTGCAAGATAAAATAAACAGACATGTGCCTTAATTGTTTCAAACTAAATAATAATTAATAATTTCAAGAACCGTTCAATTAAGAAATACTTTTATATCCACTTAAAAATTAATAGAAATTGTGATTGTAAGTCCATCGATTGTTTTATATGGTGCAACTTACTACTGTCACACCCTTATTTTTTGAAAAATTACTCATCCTAGAAAAAAATTAACAGGTTTTTTTTTAGCATAAGCGTTAGTTTAAAAATATTGAATTTTGTTCTTTTTCTTATAAAAGGTAAAGAATGAACTTTTTTTCAATGCTACGTTACATTTTCACTAGCAGATTCATTTCGATTTTATGAAAAATGGCGAAAACCAATTGAATAACGGATCAGAAAAACGTAGAAAAAAACTTATTCAGAAAAATTTTCATAAACAGTTATTTAAATTTAATAAAACTAGGTAGATAACGTAAATTTTGATAATCGAAAAAAATCAAATAAACCGAAATTTATTACAATAATTGTTTTCTTATGATTTGGCCTTCATTTGCGATGCATTATCGCACGGTATTTTTAGAAATTCATGTTTCGTTGATGGCAAAATAGTTTGAGGATCTAGATGTTAGCACGATGTACGCTTTCCTCTTCTTTTTATTAAGGAAACAAAATTAAAATTTTCATGACCTTTATTTTCGAATTATCTCAACGAATATATTTCAGCGTGCTTAAGTAGTATTAACCAAATAGAAAGTCTAACAGAAATTCATTTGGACTTAAGGGCAGACAAGACCAAACATTTAAACAAAATATTATTCGCCTAGAAGATAATTCAGCCTTTTCTGCAGTTAATGTTGTTTTCAAAACAAGAATTTAAAAACTGGAAGTTAGGTATTCGTAGATTCGGAAGAAAGGAGTGTTGGTTTTTCATTTTAATTATCTTTTTACTGATTTTCTTTTTGTAATATTTTTTAGCAGGTTTTTCAATTTCTTAGGGAAAGAAAAAATGAAACTAATTTATTTGATTTATTACTTATTCATATAGTTATTATCATATTAATTAACCCCCCACATCTATACGCCTTTCTTTCTTTAACCTTTAACATTTTTTGGTTTTAGTGCTTTTTTGGCAGCCTCTTGGCTAAAGATTTTTGAATTTTTTATTGCTCGAAGGTTAATTTTTTGAGAACTTCAGAACAGAAGTTAAAATTAGAATTACGAGACCTCCTAGGAAGCCTCTGGCCTCTCCCTGATGGATATTTTTTCTGTTTTCACGCACATGAGCTTTTCTCTTAATGCTAACAAGTGATTTTGATCCAGAAAATTTTAACATCATTTAGTAGATAGTTTCAAGGAGTAAGCGTTAAGGAATTATAAAAATAATAGACTTTATCAGCAAAAATAGTTTGAAGTTATTAGTAAGTAAAATCGACTTTTTACAAATTTTAATTCCCGTCAAATTTAAACTAATTCACTTTATGAAATTTTTATTATCCATAACTATTCGTCCCGCATTCACAAATACGCATAAACATTTTTGAACAAATTAAATTTTTTTTAGATAAGTACACAAATGCGGAGGGGTTTATCCCGTGTGGGTGTGGTTGGTCTTGTCTACCTTTAAAAACAATGGAGACTTTTTTACTGAACAAAAATTACTTATTAGGTTACCAGCATTGCGTAGTTTTAAACAAATAAATTGATGCATCAATTCTTGTATTAAATAAATGATATTGTTGTGTTTTTGTAGACTGTCCAATGTAAGATTTATACCGCATTTAGTTGAAATGGTAGGATTAATCAGTCAAAATTATATCCTTTCTGACTAAACACATCTACAATTTCAACTAAATCTAAATCTAAATTAAATAACGTAATTCATATGTGATTAAATAATCCTATCTTTTTTGTAGAATTGTTTGCGGATCTACCTTTTCTTTCGTTGGTACACTACCACAAAAAGTTATTGTAATTTATCTTTTTTGCCAATGCATTTATGCAATTGTGAAGCTGTATGGAACATCTAACAATTATTTTATTAAATAATCCTATAGGAAAAAATGATTAAAATTGGGCGTTTATTAAAAAGGCGCGCTTCCTCTCTCTCTGTGCCTATTGTCGCGTCGAATAGTCGGTTTCGTTTTCAGTTGTTTTGTTGTATGAATTGAGGTCAACTGCAATTGCCCTTAGAGAACAACTCCCATTTCACATTCACAAGCCCTAGGCCCTTCGGTTTTTTTAACCCTTCGGCTACAGTGGCAGTACCACTTGTTTGTCTGAATATAAAAAGTTTACAAATGACAACAGCAAACAATTAGTACGCATTAGGAACAGCAGAATAACACGTGTAGTGCGAAACGGAGTTATTTTTACAACAGCGATCTTGGTTAGTTAACTAAAAAAGTTTTAAATTTAGAAAAATTGTATATCAAAAAATATATTTATACCGATGTATAACAAAATGGTCGCATTAACATTTGTAACGGAGTTAAAAGGATAAAGAATTGTTAATCCTTAAGATGGAGAACACCATTCACAGATGTCAAGATAAAAAATACATTTTCCCTCTTCAAAGATGATAGGATAACATAAAATCCAATTATACCGACATATATATCGGACATTTGTTCCCCTCTTTAATTTATATTTCAAAGTCTAATAAAAATAATATTCAATAATAATAATATAAACAAATAGTGAAAAGAGTCCTACGTCCGTCGCGTGCGACTATTGTTACGATATAGATTATTTGGAATTCTGGTTTAGGGCGAAACCCTATTGCATCCTAAACGTCCCAAAGGTTCGAGTCCGCTCATATATTCTTTTTTCTACCGCATCTGACTCAAGACCAGCAGGTGTTTCGCGTTCGTTTCGGGTTTAGAGGATATATAGCAACCCTCCTATCTTCACCGCACATTCAATATTACAAAATACAATCTTTATAGAAACAGGTAAACATTTAAAATGAAAGGTTTAAACCGTACTAAATATAACACTAAAAAGTTCGAAGCAAATTGGATTAAACAATTTCAATGGTAGCTGAGGATGGCTCTACAGACAGTTTGAGATAATTTTCTTTTATTACTTGGGAAATGCCGTTTTTTTCTTCTAGGGGAAATTTTACTCATCTTCGATAAAAACTGAATTCATATTTGTTCCAAATGGGGAAATGTGATGTTGCCCGGCTCCAATCCTATCGAACAATCAGTCAGTGTTATCTTTTATTTTCTGGGCTTTCAGAAAATTAAATTATGCTGTTTCAACACCCGTTGCAGCGTTTTACCAAGTATCGCATTATTAAACTAAAATTACAAAACTCTTCCTTCTGACAAGCTAAATGATTTTGAATCCAATTATTTATGCAATCCTTTCAAGTGATAACGTTAATAGGACACTTTTTTTTTTTTTTATTGGCCTTATCATCTTGCATATTAGCCATAGTACGAATACTAGTGTGTTCAAATTGGGGGTTATCGGAAAAAAGGGCCAGAGGCGACGGTGGGAATCGAACCCACGACAATAGGACACTTTGGCGTCAACGAAAAACTTACAGTCTGTTAAAGAACAAGTCAACCCATTTGTATACACTTAAATATATATAGAAAAATATTTTATTAAAAAAGAACAGGAACCGTTGTCTAGTAGGTAGTGAGGGTTTCGGACTTCTGTAAAAATGTCGGCTGTTGAATAACCGATGTGTGACAGTGTTAGCTGTAGAGAGGACCATCTTTGTAGCATCTGATAGGTGCTTGCTCCATTAGTGATTTATGACTCACTTAAACCAGTTGAGCCTCTGCTAACACTCTCACACATCGGTTATTCAGCAGCAGACAAAACATCTGTCCGAAACCCCTTACTCCTTACTCGACAAGGGTTCCTTTTCCTTTTTTCATCTTCATTCACTGCTGTTTGTAAGAAGGAACTACTGCCAAAGCCGTGTCGACGCCTGAGGGAAGAACATAGTAAGCCAGAGGCAGTCATCAAACTATGAACTTCATGAAACCCAGAAGAACAAATTTTCAGTTCCTAGTAGTTTTGAAATAGCGGTATTTTCAAAAAATGCGACATCGATCAATTGTAAGTACGATGAAACAAGACGCTGCCTCGCTCCATCTCAGTTTATTTTCCATATGTCAAAGGAGAATCCCAATTGCCACTTAACTACAAAAGGTCGATATTACACCATGGCTCTCAAACCTATGTGGAATTATGGTATAAAACTGTACGGGTCAACCAACCATTAAATCTCCCAACGCATCCAATGAATCCAATCAAATGTCTTCAGAAAAATAGTTAACCCTCCTTTTTATGTATCAAAATTCACCCTACACATATTCCTTTGCTCCAGAAGTAGATAAAAACTATTGCCAAACGTTCCGTCAATCCCTGTTTACACATCCCTATGCCTTGGTCCATCAGTTCAATTCCACCACCATCCCAGGTAATCCTCCCCATGGACGGAAACGTCAATGACCACATTATGCCCCCTACATAGTGACGAAGTTACTTATTTCTTCTATACGAGACTCACTACAGGGTGAGTTCTTCCCATTTTTACTATTGTGTGTGTGTGTGTGTGTGTGAGAGAGAGAGAGAGAGAGAGAGAGAGAGAGAGAGAGAGAGAGTGTGAGTGAGTGAGTGAGTGAGTGAGTGAGACAGTGGAAAACCATCCACTTTCTACTTGTGTGCTTTTCCAAAATTGATCAAGCTGTTCAGTTTTTGCATAACCCAGAAATTATGCAATTCCATATCTTTGATGGGTATTACAATTGAGAGACAGAAAATTGAAATACAATTTAAAATACGCAGAGACTGAGCTACTTACGGTAAAAAAAGTATCATTAAACTTTTGAAAAGTATACTTATTAAAAATGGTGAAAGTAATAAAAATTAAACAAAAAAATTTCGCACAAAATTGATCATAACAAAAAAAAGTTTAAAAATTCAATTCAATTAATCCATACTTGTTTAGTGCCATCATTGACCATATTAATTATTACAATTAAATCTTTTTTCATC